GTCCTGTTTTCTTTGCACTGGGCTATTTTGTCTTTTATCTTATTGCTTTGCATTATATTATCATATTCTGTTTCATTCTTACTTATTATTTTATTGTTATAGCTTTAACCATAAGTAAAGTTAAGCTCAATTCTTTAAGTTGGTGTCTGTGTCCCTTGCGCTGACCCCGTCTATTGGCAAAACACTGACTCTGGGTCATCCAGAAGGACAAGGCTGAACCCCATGTCCACATCGCAAGGAAGCGGTGGGAGATAGGCACCACAGAGACCCTCCTGGATGTGGAGGCACCATCCGCCTGTTTTGCCAATTGATGGGGTTACCACAAAGGACACAGGCACCAAATTAAAGAAGTTGGCTTATTTTTACTTATGTTTAAAGTGATAAAATAATGAGAAAAATAATACAGTAAAGATAAACTAAAGTGAGATAAGGTAAAGCAGCAAAATAATAAGCAAACTACCATAGCAAGCATAAAATAAGGTAATGCACCTAATCATTACTCCATAGAGTTAGCGATAGTGATTAAGATACAACACCAATTGCCCTAATCATACGTTACCATCATCCAGATCCGCAGTCGCTGGGGAGCCCAGTCACAGTGAGGATTTGGAGAACCCTTCCCGGCAACTGGGAAATCTCTATACAGTGCATCCACTGTATAGCTGAGGCTTTCAAATTTCCCTGCAAACGTTCCCCGCTTTTACACAATTGAATAAACAACTTTCTATCTCAAACTGCAAAAAGAACATCTAGTGTGGTTTTCTCCTTGTTAACTTCCATCTCGAGCTTGGTCGGAGCAGGAGAGGGGAGACAAGAACAAAAGAATTTGGTAATCGTGATTATGTATCTCTCAACAAAGTCTGTCACAACTTGCCACATTCTCTTACTTAGAGGTTTATTTGTTTTTGACAAATGAGGCTACTGTTACACAATTAGTATTCTTCTGCTGACTAACCTTACACAGCAAGCGTTACAGCAAAGCTCTATAAGTGTTACAACTAAGTTTTTATAAATTGTCATATATTCATAAGGTAATACATTACATATGTGATCAATGTTATACATATCAGATATATTGTGAGGTTGTAGGTTCATCTAGAGGTCAACTTTGGTTCAGGGCTCACCGCTTAGGCCCTAGTATCTCACTGCCAAACTCCAGAGGTTTGCTGCTTGCTGGAGGCTGAGACTCGGGAAGTTGCAGAGAGACCGCCAAGGCTGTTCTGGACCCTTGTGCGGTTACCCGTTGCTGCCCAACCACACAGCCACCAACAATGCAGCCGAGGGAGGCTTTAGGCATATCCAGAGTGACTCAAACAGTCGGGGAACTGGGATATATAAAGAGATGAAGTACTTGATGCCTTCCCCAGACTGCTCAGGTCTGCTTTTGGCCTGAGCCTAGAGGCAGAGCCTCTGGGAATACGGCATTACCCGCTGTGGAGGAAGATCCAGTTCAGAGGGCACTTCAACCAGCTGACACAGAAAAGTCCATGGGACCAAGCAAGGTGCTTCCCAGGGTGCTGAAGATTTTCGTAAAGCTCTCATCCAACTTTCCTCATATTTCAACGCATGCAAACCACGGGCAGGTGTGATGGGTGGGGCTGGCAAAGAGCTTTCCAGAGGAGCACTGGAAGAACATGGGAAGGGGATTGAGGAATTCAGGTGTCTACCAAAAACTCTCTGCAAGAACTGGCCCTGTGATCCTTCTCCCAGAACCTCACAGGCTGATGAGAGGTCTAACCCAACAAGGGACCTATGATTTTCAGCCCACCCATGCAACACAGCATGAAACAAGTCAAATGCACTGAGATTCAGGTTGGACTCCAAATAGGGCCTCCAGGTTTATCCTGTGGGAAGGGCTTTGCTTGCATTGACTTTATTTTAAATTATTTTGTGGTTTGAGGATAAGAAGCAGCTATTTCTTTGTATTTACTCATGTGTTTTTACATCTTGGTGATACCCTTCAAAGCCTTGAAAAAGCACATGCCTTTGCTTTGCACTCTGTGTGGTCGCTCCTAACCTGCTGTTAGGAAACCAATCCTGCAGAGGAACCCCTGGGGCTGGGCTCAGCACAGTGTTGCCTGCAGCACTAGTGATTCCCATCTGTCGCAGGTGGATTCATTTCCTTCCCTCCAAATGTCCCTTAACACACCCTTTCCCTTTTTATTGCTATTCCTTTGCTGAAACCTGATGGTTGAGATGGGATTGCTTTGGAGACTGAACAACACTGTTCTAGGTGGTCATTAAATAATCGCTCACAACATTCCCAGTCATCCAATTAACCTCCACGTTTAATTTCCTAACTTTTTCAGTCTCTCTCCATCTTAAAAATCTCAACATCTTTTGAGGCATCCACTAATTCTTGCTTTTTTCCTCTTTCACTGTCCTATCCTTTTCAAAATGGGAGCGCAGCAGCAAAGCATAGGTGAAGATTTGTCAGCGAGTTACTGAGTGATGTAACACAGTTTTCCATATTTTATATTCCTCTGTCACATACTTTAAGATTGTATTTTTCTAAGCAGCTGTTTTCAGCTATTTATGATGATGCTGGTTTATTTATGAGTTGGTCCGAATTTGTCAAACCTCCTAAAACATTTCAATTTTTCCCTTCCGGTGTTCATGGCAGACTTTATGTATTAATGTCTTGGGTTGTTCACTTTGTTGTTGTATGGGGATAAATATCCGAATAGAGTGAAATCAGCTGTGACAGGAAATGACTTCCCACTATTCACAGGCAACTACCACAGGCAAAGGCTGAACTTCTGCATAAGAGTTTGCAAGATCAGAGTATGTAAAAAATGAAAACAGACATGTCATCTTGAATCTTTGCTAAATTGCAATAGCTGAAAATTCCAGCCCATCATTTTACCACCACAACAAATTTTCATACCAGGATTTGTTTCTTTTCTTTACCGCAATTTTAATTTTCTTCTAAAGAAGATGTACTTTCTCCTCTAGTAGGTGATTTGTCATCAAATTAGAGACTCTCCCATCTCCCATTACAAAATTTGAATCAACTCATTCAAAGGATACATCTACCCACAGTCACAGCTATGATCCAGGTTGGATCTCCACTTTCACACCAGCTGCAAATCATTTGAAATCCAGATGATGCAGCAGTTGGTTCCCCATAGGTCAACCCCCCTACAGTAAAACTCCAGGCTCAAACTTATCTATCTGGGCTGCAGCTCATGGAGACGCCTAAATCACAAAGGATCCACACGTGCACCCCTGCAAATCCTAACGGCGTCCTAACGGATCATGGCCCAGCTCTAACCTGCAACGAACGCGGTGCCCATGTACCCAGCGCTGATTTGCGACACGAGCTTGGCCTGTAGAACAAACTATGTTAGAAATGAGCCCAAGCACTTGGAATTAGAGGCATAAAATTTGACATCTCCCAAAGAAGAGTGGGGTCAGCAGAAGCTATAAAAACAGGTGTAACACAGGCTCAGCAGCAGAGATTAGACTGAAGCTCTTCCATACAATAAACACCTTACAATAAGTAACTCTGTAAAACTCAGTGGGGAGAGCTCACCCACAGCTTTTGGGAAAATAAACCTTTTGAGAAAAGATCAGGAAAGAAAAAAAAGAGACCATCTAAGAGAGTTATATTTGAGATAGCATTTTTCCACTCAGACAACTGCACAACAGGTATCCTGGTATCAGAGGCAAAGAGCTGGAAGCAAAAGAATTGTCACAGGTATGATGCTAAAGCTGCACAACATGACAGAAAACCATCGCTGAGATTTGTATCCTTGTGTCTCTTCTACATGCAGGTTTTGACCAACTTTGGTTTTCACAGCAATGGAATTTTTCCTCTCCAGGATGGAAAGTAAGAACCTCTTCCTAAGCCTTTTGCTCTGCTACAGCTTGCTCAGAGCTGCCGATTCTCATCTGATAATTGAAGAGAAGAGAGAATGCAACCTGTCAAGGAGCACCAAAATGCATCTCCAAGATCTCCCGCACATCTCCATAGTAGGTTAGTAAAATTGGTGTCAAATTAACAATACAATTGTCGAGTCTCATGGATTATTTCGATAGCTTACTGCAACATTGCAATTTCATATAAATGCCTTGGGATGCAGAACTGAGCGTGGAGCTTAGTGGCAATAGACCCACAGCATCCAAAAATGGCAAAGTGGCAAATCACAGTTTATAGTGGGGAAAAAAGAAAAAAAAAAAAAAAGAAAATCAGACAACTCATTTTCATTTTACAGATTTCACTTCAGGTCCTATCATACTGTAAGTCTTTTCATCTTGAAGAGAAGTGTTTTTCTATTAATATGGGCATTAATTTTCCTTTGAAACTCTAGTGCAGATAGAAAAAGTGAACATAACTTTTTTTTTTTAGAATCTGCTCTTGTGGCAGAGAAATCAACAGTTCTCTAAGGTATTAATATAACCTCCATGTACCTGTGTGCCAAGTGATCTTTAACCAGGGGAAGAAAAGAAAAGCGCAGTGCAAGGGAGAGCCAGACACCATCTACTGATCCAAGACAGGACCAGCTGTGTCCCTGCCGTTAGTGGCAGGTGACCATCTGTCCTGTTAGGGAAGAACCTTGTTAGGCCAGTGCTTAACTCTTCTCTTCACAAGATTTTTTTTCCTAGTGTCTGCCCTAACTCTTTCAACGTAATTTAAGCCAACTTTTTTATTTCAAGAAACTGACAGGGGATAATTAGCTGCAGAACATTATTCATAACTGTCAAAATTTTAATAATTTTAAAAAGAAAACTTCTCTTGTTTAGCTTCCTTCTACAGGCTTTTAGGACTTTTGCTTAAAGCAGGTTGGTTTCTTACCTTGTTTCTGGTATTTCCTCTGCACTCTTGCTCAGGACATTTCTCTAAGGAGAAGCAGTTGCCCCACACATGCATTTCCAATTAAATCTGAACCTCTAGACCCTGGGTTAACTCAAGGCTGTTTAACTGCAAGTTTATTAGAGCTTGTGCTGCTCTGTAGCCTCCCAAGCCATGTCATTTCATGGTCCTTGCGATCCTAGATGCCTTCAGTCTCACACTTTCAATTTATTTTTTTTTATTCCAAATAAAATCAGACATATAAAATACAGTCCCTTCAGCTGGTTTCTCTCTTCTCCCAAAAATGTGCCCATGCCTTAAACATGGCAGGTAGGCTACATCGTGCCAGAGTGTTTAGCCAACAGACATCCAAGATATCAAAAATCCCCCCACGGTATCAGCTCCTTTTGCTTTGGATGGTTCTGCAACACCTCCTAAAAGCCCTCCCTTCCTCTCAGCGCCATTGGGTTGTCTGCAGGAGACACCTTGTCCCACAGGAGCAGAGCATCCGTGTATCCTCACCACTCTGCAGTGAAGCCCAGCTCCGCTGCTTCCCCACTTTAGAGAGAAATGCAGCAATTAGCTAAGGTCAGAAAATAAATCCACAGCAGACTAAGGGGCTGAATGTAAGCAAACAGCATAACCTCCAGCTCACCTTTCTGCTCCTTCTTCTCCTACATGCATTCAAACAGAATGAGCATTTGACACTGAAAATGCAAGAATAATTCAAAAGAGCAAATCTTGGCATAACACCCACCTCTTGTAGCCCACTCGTCTTGGCTGGCCACCCCAAAAAGGAACTCATGTTACAGCGCAGGTTTTAAATGTTGCTGTAGCCATACTTGAGTAATAAAACTCATCCGCAATCAGCTGTTTACACATCCATCTCCATCAACTCTCCATCAACCAGAGTGCTCATGGTATCAAAAGATGCTATGTCTGGCTCAGATTCAATAAAATCCAAGGCCAGAGTTGAAATACATCTTAAAAGGTAAGCAGAGGATTTGCTAGCATCCGCTAGTACAACATGCAATCATCTCATTAACACATGCTTTTTATAGCACTTCAGATGGCAGTTGTATCAGAAGGGGTTAGAGGTGTGTCTTACCAATATTTTCACAAGCTTGTATTACATCTTCCCATATTATAGAATCACAGAATCACTAAGGTTGGACAAGACCTCAAGGATCATCAAGTCCAACCGTCAACCCAACACCACCCAACCCACTAACCCATGTCCCCAAGCACCACATCGACACGTTTCTTGACCCCCTCCAGGGATGGTGACTCCACCACTGCCCTGGGCAGCCTGTTCCAATGTTTGTATTGTTGCAGATGAGACTTGTAAGGAGCTGGTCAGTTGGGCAGCTGTTGAAAACACAGTAGGTAGAGGATGAGGAATATGAGATTAGAGGTCAGCTGGGAAAAGCAGGTGTTTTACCCATCCCAGAAGAACTATACAAGAAACAATTATAACACCCCCCTGTCAAAAAAGGCATCTCTACATTTCCCTCTCATCTGCCCCCTGGGCATCATTTTCTTCTTTACCAAATTCCCTGGAACAATTAAAGTTCATTTACATCACATCAGTGTTTAAATCTCTGTTTAATGTCATCATAGACCATTTAACTGGATGTTATTGAAGAAAATTTATAGGCAAAGCAATCCAGACAATCCTGTGTAATTGTACTATAGAAAATTAATGTAGAATTAAATGGCTTACAAACATCCTGGTCACCATCAGAAAGTTTCAAAGGGCAGCAAAAAAATGCCAACGTAATCTGCCAGCTGGAGCTGAATCTAAACCACTAATCCTAGATAGTGCAATGCCTTTTTTAAGACACACTCTTACTTACACGCTTGAAGTAAAGCTTTCCCTCCCACTGTTTTGTAGAGACATGGAACCCTAACTATAATGATGCAAGGATAATAAATGAACCCCCTCAAACAGCCCACAAATGTGTCTCCTTCATTCTGTAATCATGTCAATCCTGGCAATTATGCAGATTTTTTACCCCAATCATTCACTACATATAGGTAGCGCTTATTACAAACCTCACACACATGGAATAAATGTATCATAGAACAGAATCACAGGATGGTCTGGGTTGGAAGGGATCTCAAAGCCCATCCAGTCCCACCCCCTGCCATGGGCAGGGACACCTCCCACCAGCCCAGGTTGCTCAAAGCCTCACCCAGCCTGGGAAGTATCTCACACTTTAACAGTCTCGCTGTGTTAGATCCCAAGAGAAGTTTTAGTCATGGAGTTTATATATAGCAATAAACAGCATTCGAGCTGATACAATAGTAACAACTGCAGTAAATGCTATTAGCCCTCAAGGGATAATATGAGGAAGTTCGCAGATACTAGTGATTTGACCTAAAGAAAAAAAACCAAAAAGTTACATCAGGCATAGTCTGAACAACCCCCCCAAAATTTACCAGATCCGAGATTTGACCCTACAAATATTCACAAACCTTTCAAAGCTACAGGCACATCAACAAAACACCTTTGCACAGAGCACTTTGTAAAAGAATACAGTAGGTGAGAAAGGAACAAAGAACCGAAGGAGGAAATCCGGCATCACACAGAGGAAGAGTTTATACCAAATCAGCAAAGAGCTCTTTGCTTGTGAAAACCAGCATACACTTGTTAATTCCTGCCAAAATTATGGAGTTAACACTACCTTTTAACAGAAAAAAAGATAGAATTCTAAAGGTTTTTCCTATTTTTGTTCATATGACTAATATGCTAAGTACCCCAATTTTTTTACACCAGAGACCTTTCATCTTCTTTCTCTGAAATTATTTTCCTTCTTTGTATCTGAACAAACTGAAAAAAAAAGTGTAAAAAAGCCCTACTAAAATACAGACATCAGCGCTCTTCTGCTCTGCACAAGCACCAGTGCAGGCACGAGTTCAGAGCCGCTGCGTGTAAGTGAGGACGGCTCCTAGAGACAAACATCTTCATGGCAAAACACACAGTGATGGGGTGGCAACGCAGTTTATCTGCCTTCTCTTGCACAAAAGCAGTATTAAGCATCTCAATTAAACAACCCGTGCCGTCAAATTGATTTAATGTTATGTTGTGCTATTCTCTTTGAAGATTTAACTAAAAGATCCCAGAAAGTCAGCAAAAAAAGAGAACAGGAAATCTTCCAAGGTAGGTGGCTGTCCAGAAAACATTGTTGAGCTAGAACAGTTTATTACTTCTATAGTTTTCGTCAGTGCATTTATTTGCAAGGCTTTCATGGCCATTCCCCAATTTAAATAATTTACCTGCAGTTTGAAGCTCTAAATACTCTTGCAACAGATGCAAAACTTTAATGCTGGAAATAAAACTGGGATCCTAGATTACCTAGAGGTTATTGCTTGGGTTGGGGGGGTTTGTTGGTTTTGATTTTGCTTTATTTTTTACAGTACTCTCTTACACAAAAGGCACTTTAACCTTGAGCTGGTTAAAGTATTTGTAAAATTATTTCAGCGTATCCCCCACAAAGGGTCTCCTTCCGAGTCACGCCGTGTGGGTCAACTGTCTAGGCTCTGCGGCTCAGGGGCACAAACTCACCATCCGCTGAGTTTTAACTGCAGGTGCTGGAAAATTAAAGTAGAGGCATACAAAGAAGTTGGTATTTGGTTGAAAACATTAACTAGTAGTTTTATCAGATCAGTAGGTTCAGATTGATAGACTTCCTCAATGTTACCCATGGGTTTTGAATGTGATATTACACAGGCTGGACTCCTATATTTTGAAAATTGTCTAGAAGAGTAGAAAATAGCATTTTTACTTTGTTTTTAATATGTCATGATAGCCATTCATAGAATCATAGAATCACAGAATGGTTTGCGTTGGAAAGGACCTTAGAGACCATTGAGTCCCACCCCCTGCCATGGGCAGGGACACCTCCCACTAGCCCAGGTTGCTCAAAGCCCCATCCATTTATAGCTAAACCAGTCATTGCAGTGACCAGAAACATTTAGGGCTCCTTTTCCTTTCTAATTAATGTCTCACGTGGTTAACCTTCCTTTAACCACTCCCTAAATTTGCAGGATGACCCAGGTCGAAAGGGGCCTCAGGACATCACTTAGTTTTACCTTCAGCTCAAAAGCAGGACATTCTTGCAATTAAACTCTGTCAAAGTATTTGGGCTTAAAAGCTCCTAAGGCACTTAGAGACCACAGAATATTTTAGCCGAAAACTGAAACACCTGAGAAACTACCAAGTTACAAAAGCCAACAGGGTGCCTGGGGCTGGAGGGCTCCAGAGGTCTCTCCCAGGTACACACTGATCAACCCAACAGTTTCCCCCTTTCCCAATCACAGCCAGAGAAGCAGCACTCCTGGGGCAGGCTCCGAGGTCTCTGTCAGCTCACGTTACCTGTGTGCACGGTTATGGATTCCCACGCACAAACGCGATGCCCAAAGGATTAGCAAGCTCCAAAGGCAGCTCAGCAAACAAACCACGCGAGGTAGAGCGTCGCCAAGTGACCTCACCTCTCTCTCAGCCTTGCAGCTCAGGAGACAAAGTGGGTACCAGCCCCACAGGCTGACAGGGAGGCTCCAAGAAAAGTTTGGGGATCCAAGAGTGTTTCCCTATTTTGTTTTCCTCATACCCAACCCGATAATCATTGCAGATTCTTGCATCCCTTTCTTCACTGCTGCCACATTCTTCCCTACGGAACATTTTCCAACACTCTACCCAGTCACATTTCTAACTGCTCACAATATGGGGACCACGAGGTTGACCCTTCCGCTCGGTAGTTTGGTCTCCAGCCAGCATGTCCCATGGTCCAGTCCCACCACCTCTCCAGATTCCTACCAATACACGTCTTGCTGCTAGCAACTGCCGACTCATTTCAAGCCAGAAGCTCCCACGCTTCACTTTCTTTACCCCTACACTTTATTCTGACCCATACTCATTTTACGCTTATCTGAATTCTCATGGTTTTTCTTCCAGAAACACGCTGAACCGAAGACACCTCCGAAGCCAAGGCCCACACCAGCTGCTGACTGCGTGCCAAACTTCAAAACCTGCAAACCACACTTGAATTCATGTTGCCACTACTGTGCTTTGTGCAAATGCCGAATTTTTCAGACCATCTGCCAATGTCTAATGTTAAGCCCAAAGTGCTAAACCAAACTGGGAACACAAGACGGCTTCTGTCTTTCATCAGCTTCTCTAGCGTGTGTTTCAAACCGCCCCGTGTGTATAGCAATCAAAGCAGAGAGCTTTGAAGCTGGCAGCTTGGGTTTGCCCCTCTTAAAATTAAATGGGCCATGGTTTTTTTCATAGGGTTAATGCTATCACATAAATATATATATATCTCTCATATAAACAGGATGTTTTTTCAGGGAGCAGAGACATTGAACAGCTATTTTTAGCAAAACTGACCCGCATTTTAGGAAGAATTCTGGGTTCTCGTTGACCTGGGAGTTTCTTGTTTGTTTGGGGTTTGGGTTTGTTTTGGTTTAATTTGGTGGGTTTTGGTTTGTTTTTTGGGGGGTTTTTTTGGTTTTAGGTTTGTGGGGTTTTTTTGAAGAGCCCTATTAACCACGGACTGCAGCACTGTCCTACCAGCACCAGTTTTTGTTTGTTTTTTGGGGTTTTTTTTTGGTTCTGGGTTTGTGTTTTTCTTTTTGAAGAGCCCTATTAACCACAGACTGCAGCATTGTCCTACCAGCACCACAAAAATCTGCACCAACAGCATGCAAATGGCCAAGCTAAAACAGGACGGGTTCATCCAGGGAGGGACCACAACCTGGGTTTGCCCACAAGGACAGCACAGCATCAGCTTCCAGCACAGCCAAATTATCATGCAGAAAATGCAGATTTCAGGTTTAGCTCCCCCTTCACACATTCAGCAAAAATCAGGACAATAATTTATATATTTATATTTGTACCTGAAAAGACAAACCCACAACAACAAGGCAATTTTTTAATCATCCCGAGCTGAGCTTCAGTACACCCACCTCCAGGGATTTTAGTCATTCTACCAGGAACCAGTTATCTCCAAGGTCTATCATATATGTGTATATTTGAACCCTGAAGGTATCTGTGCCTCATGACTTAAAAATCAGATTTTTTTCTCCAGCTGCATCCACAGGAAGAGAGTCCTCAGCCCTTCTGCTGCTGCTGCTGAGGACACCGTGCATATAGAGTCCAAAAGCAAAAACACACATCCAGGACTTTGAGGAAGAAAGGAGAGATCAGAAAAAAATGAATGCGTATCCCACACGTACATCTTGAAGAAAACCACGAGAAGCAATCACTCTCTCCTTCTTTGCCCTTTCTTACTATGGGCAACTCTCAGCACCTACCCCCATGGTAGAATTCAGATGGGAATCTCCATGTGCTGCATGCAACAAGTGACCACAGGGGAAAAAAAAATTCTCACATGCTGTATCAACCCTTAAAGGCTCAGAAACAGCTCTGAAGGTACGGATGAAGCTCAAGGCAGCAGCAAGAAGGTATCTAGAAGATATCTTTCTCTTGTTCTTGAAGATCTTTGCCTTAATCCTGAGCTCTTAGGATGGCACAGGGGGAAAACCCCTCTTGGTTAAACTCCCAGGAGAGATGCGGGGACAGCAGCAGCTCTCCCCAACGTCGAGGGGTCTTCATCTGCCAGACTCCAGCTCCTGCTTTTTACCTCTTCTGTTCTGTATCTAAAGTATTCCTCTCCCTGACTCCTGGATCTTCTTTTTTTCTTCTGTGGGCCTTTCTTGACTTTGGAATTTTCCCTTCATCGCACTATTGCTGGTCACCCCAGGAGCCATACACACTCCCAGGGCTCAAGCTGCATCTTCCATGTTCACTCCACCCGCCTGCTCGATGACTCTGCCAGTGTCACTACCAGTGCTCTTTAGCTTTCACAATCAGATATTTTCTACCCATTTCTAATCCCAATCCTGAATTTTCTAATGCTCTGTGCAGGTCTAATTGAGAGGAAATTTCATTACTGATTTATTTCTAAACACAGATGAGGGCTACAAAAATCTCCCAAGCAGGCAAAGATGATACAGATGACATTCTAACAGGGCTCAAGCCACATGAACTTTTTTTTTTTTCCTAATAGTCAACCCAAAGCCCTGAGCTCAAAACATAGGTCAGATGTTGACAGAAATGTTTGTTCATCTTAGATTAGTCTCTGTCATCTATATAGATCTCCACGAAAGAGCCCAAACAATGACAGGATGTCATTTTTTTCCTTATCTTTTATAAAATACATCAGCTGTCATATATGATACAAGCTTGACTTCTTTTAAATCTCCATAAATATGTCTTCTAATCAGACATCCTGGCTCAGGAACCTGTAACCCTCCAGTTACAACAACAATGGGCTTAGGAAACAGAATTTGTCCCCTTCTTTTACTAGGTAGAGACGTAAGTTCCCATCAAGTTGTTTCAAAATTCTCATAACTATAAGAAATCATCCTTGGTTGATACTAAAATCACACCAATAATCACACAACAACTTCTCATGGGGGAACAATATAATTTTCTTACCACAACGTCCAGTTGGTCAGAAAAATTATATTTTACCAGGGTGGAGGGGAACAGGAAGAGAGGAAAGGGAAGGGAGAAGAACCAGAAACCAAACAGCTGTTCTCTAGGCAGCAGCTCCCACTCCAGCTTTGCAGACCCACAGAATGGTTGATGGTGGCAGGGACTGCTGGAAGTCATCTGGCCCCAGCCCCTGCTCAAGCAGGGCCACCTGGGGCTGGTTGTCCAGGATCATGTCCAGACAGCTTTTAAATATCTCCAAGGAGGGAGACTCCACAACCTCCCCGGGCAACCTGTGCCAGTGCTCTGTCACCCTTCCCACAAAAAAAAAAAAAAAAAAAAAAAAAAAGTGTTTCCTGATGTTTGACCCTTCCAGTATGTCCATGTGTCTGTTGCACTGGGGAGCCCTGAACTGGACACAGTCCTGCAGGTGTGCTCTTACCAGTGCTGAGCAGAGGGAAGGGATCACCCCCCAGACCTTCTGACAACACTCCTCTGAACACAGCCCAGGACGCCATTTGCCACCTTCCCTGCAAGGGCACGTCGCCAGCTCACGCTCATCTTGGTGTTCACCAGGACCCCTGGGTCCTTTCTGCAGAGCTGCTCCCAGCGTGCTGTCCCCCCCAGGGGCACGACTCTGCACTTCTCGTCTTGAACTGTGTGAGGCTCCTGTTGGACCTTTTCTCCAGGCTGCCGAGGTCCCTCTGGACGGCAGCACAACCCTCGGGCATGTCAGCCACTCCTCGCAGCTTTGTGTCACACGCAGACTTGCTGAGGGCACGGTCTGCCCCATCATCCAGATCGTTAATGAAGATGTTGGCTACAAGCTTGCGGCTGTGGGCTGAGGAAATGGAAAGTGCAGAGACCATGAACGAGGAGCTGGAGGCACGGAAGCTGAACCAGCAAAGCACGGGATGGTGCACGTACACAGTGAAGGAAAAAGAAAGAAAAAAAAAGAGAGGACTTGTTTTTCAACACACATGCACATACTTTTTTATGTAGCATTCCTCTGTAGTGCATTTTGACAAGTTTGATTTATTAATAAGCCTTTTTTGTAACTGGGATTGATTAGAAAGAGGTTACACTTCTTTGCCATTCATCTATCACACCAAAGAATATATATAACCAAGTACTCTGAAATTGTTATTAGCCTTAGTGACTTGACTTTTCTGGGTAAAGATCGTGTTGCATGAGGTAGTGATAGCATTCAGAAATCAGTAAAACATGTACACTTAATATTTGCTTCCTGTATTTAGTTTGAACAGATATTTATATTGAGGAGTTGTTTGTAAGAGCTCCCTAAGGGACCTATCTGAAATGTCATCAGCACACAGATGATAAAACATCCACATGACAAAGATGGAGTGTTTAATTTTTCATTGTCACATACCAAAATGCCTCCACTGAAAACTTACTGGAATTCAAGCTTAGAGACAGCCCCAGTAATGCTCCATGACAGAGCCATTTTGTTCCTAGAGACTAATGGAAATTTTACCCTAATTACAGTTAAGGAGGATGAAGCACAAATAAATCACTATTAGCTTTTCCAAATATTGCCTATCTTGTGTGAATTTAAAACACATACGGTATTCTCCCATCCAAAGTCCTGACTTGATTGCTTATTGTCACACTCAAAGACCATAAAATCCAAGTTTATCCTGACGGATAAAACAAATGGGAGAGTTAACATCTTAACAACTCTAACAAACTATCTCTAAACACCTCCTAGTTTTCCAGGCTAATTACTGAAACTGTCTGGGAGACCCCAGAAGGAAACCAAACAATTCCCCATGTCAGCCTTTAGGATCGTCTCACAGAAGGAAAGATTTGATGGAAGGTAGAAGAACTTTTTCCAAGCTTTATAGATGAGTCAACAGTATCTATGATGCTGCTTTGGCTGAGGGTGATGAAAAATTCAATAGAGTCCCTTGGAGATGCAGAAATAGTGCTAACCTCGTGATGAAATGAATTATAGGAGAACCAGACGGAGATTTGTATAACCAAACTGAGGAGCCAAGGAAGAACTTGTACATGCCATGCCCAAAGCTGACTCTGTGGGAGCTCTATTTTACAGTGTAAAAATTACATCATCTGAGTCCTGTGGCAAACATGCTCCTCGGAGTATTGTGGGACACACTGTTCGTGAGGTACTGCAGTCTTGAGGTCACTCACTGTAGGGGTGTAGACATTAAATGACACCCAAGGCCAATGCAAAAAATAATTAAATCATAACGTTCTTCATCAAAGCATTTCAAGTTGAATTAGACCATTTTATAGCCAGAAGTAACTCTATAAACACAGTAAATAGACCCATTCAGCATCTGTTCACATCCAGTATCCTATTTAACTCAGAGACATCACGGTGAGTGGCAGGACCAGGGCTAAAGAAAACAACTAAAACCAGACTCCCCTAACAAATCAGTGAGCACTTCACATCTTTTTTTTCCTGTCTGCTTCTGAGGTCTGAACTGCTGCCCTTCTGGCCAGCCTTCTCCCCACAGCGATCTCCGGCATACAGAAGGGAACACGGGGGAAACGTGCCACGGTTACTGCGTTGCAAGTTCCCAATCGCCTGGAACAGATTGCTCACAATTTCCAAAACTGCAAGTGCACAGCAAACAGCTACTCATTTCCAAACAGGAACATG